CTCACCACACTGAGGAGGTTGGGCTTTGGACATGGTTTTTGCAAATGGGTTACCACTATGTATATGCTAGCCACGTCCTCTGTGCAAGTCAATAGTCATTTGTTGATTACTTTCCATCTGACAAGATCCCTCCTGCAAGGCTGCCGCCTAGCCCCTTTACTCTTCGTCCTGCAAGAACCGTTTAATAGAATTCGCAGACACTTAAGGATCCATGGTCTTCCGGTCTCGGTGGATAAGGAGTGCAAAGTGAAAGCACTGACAAATGATCTGTTTGTGGTCTCTGCCAACACAGTGGAATCCTTGGAGACAGTTAAAGAAGTTTTGACTGAGTACTCACTGTTGTCGGAGGCACTAGTCAACTGGAACAAATCTACCTTCTTGTTGCCGACCGAGCAGAGACTGCAGGTAGACTTGGGTATGCAAAGGGTGGATCCGAAGACGGGAGAATAGTTTTTGGGGGTAATGGTGAGCACCCAGTTAATGAGCATCACTCAAGCGACAATTATTCAACAAAGAGTAATAGCCAAACTGAGAGTTTGAGGCTCTGCCTGACACCTGTTGCTGTTCGGTAGGGCACTGATTATAAATGCAACATTGTTTTCCTTAGTTTGGTTTGTGGGAACGGTTAGAGAATTGGTTGCGATAGTTGTGTCTGAGATCCGAAGGTTGGCAACAAGGTTCCTCTGGAAGCCACGGGCCCCAGGGGAGGAGGGATTCATGTCGAAAGTGGCCGAAGTTGATACTCCCCACCAATAGATGGAGTCTCTCCGCAAGGTGCTAGCAGTGTCTGCTCTTACCAGCACCACTAGCAGTAGAGGAGTTGTCTTACATAAAAAAAAAAAAAAAAAAGATTGGGGACCCTGCGGGCTCCCGCCACCGATGTAGGTGGGTCTAGAAATGGTGTAGTGTTTGGTTAGTGTTTTTGATAGTACGGGATCAATATAGGCATTGGATGTGATGCGCAACCTCACGCCCTGTGTTGTCTTTCGTTCGGAGTGCTAGATGTGCGGAAAGAGGCCCAGAAAAACAGCAAGATGGGGTGTGCCAAGGATTTTTGGGAATTGAGTGTGGGGACACAGACAGAACTGAAAGCCCCCGTGTTGGTCCGACGAAGTAAGTCGATTGTTTTCCGCGCGGCGCTAATGGCGCGTGCGGAAGTTTGGCGCGAGAGGAGTGAAAAATACAAATTCAATCCAGAAAATATTGTCGGACTTCCCACCTGGCTACGGCCCGTCGTTTAGAACCGAAGGGCTTCGGCACGCTTCGCGTGTCTCGCTTTCGTATCAAGTCCCGTCGTCGTTCACTGACCAGTTCTGAATCCGACGTGGAGGGTCTTAATCGCGTGGCTCTTTCTCTATGTTCGTCCTCACTCCGCACACGGTAGTGGAAACCCCTGGATTCGTAGCGCTCAAAGCGCTGACATTCGGTGCATAGGGTGCGCGGCCAATGGGGTTCTCCTGCCGTCCACGGGATGACGATCAACTCGTTGAATGGCAGCAATATGGAGTAAGGTGGAAAGTGTGTATCGATAATGACAAACCCAGCCTCTACGAACCCTGAACAACGGTTTGCCGGAGGGAAATAGTATCGTCCGCCGATTTGTGCGACAGCTTCTCGTACGTCCCACTCGCATACACGTGTCCTATCCTCGTTGTAGGGGAAAGGCCGCGTTGAGACGGGAGATACGGGAGGCTGGCGCCCGATCGAAGGGTGCTTGTCAGTCCACATATCAATCAATTGCAAAAATCCCGAGACGTCATCAAGAAAAGAAAACACTCGCGCAACCCCCAATCAATCCTTTTCGACCCGAAAGAGAGAGAGAAAAAGAAAACATTCATCAGCTTGATCATGCGTGTAACTAAGGGACCGACCCGCGACTCAAATTTAGTAAGCCAACGCGGTTGATCCAAGGCGCCTTGTTTCTCGAGGCCGACCTGTGGCTTGGTTGCTGATGTCGTGCCGCATAAGGCAGGTGGCATGCGCAGTGCATTCAGAAATACAGATCTAAACACTCTTGCATTCTCGGGCAAATTCCTACTGAGGGCTGCGTCTAATCAACACAAAAAAAACGCGCATCTTCATACATATATTCACTGTGGAAGGTGCGAAAATGACACAACCGAGGGAATTGTACACACGCATCCACCGTTCACAAGACGAGAGGATCAATTCCTCGACATCTGGGGATTACCCAGGAAACTAATGGAAGAGTTCCGGAAGAAGTTCTTTCACACAGGAAAGCACACAGATTCATTCCCATCCAAGAGAGAGAGAGAGAGAGAGAGAGAGAGAGAGAGAGAGAGAGAGAGAGAGAGAGAGAGAGAGAGAGAGACAAACATCGAGACACATCATCATTCAAAGATAGAGGAGAGAGAAGGAGATGAAGGAGGAAAGTCGAGATAGGAGATGACAAGATCCGAAAGAAGGAAATTCGGCGTTGCCGCCATGCACTCACGCCAGAGATAAAGATCCGCAACAACAAAGGCGCATTCGCCGTTAATTCCAATATGGTCCTAGGCCAATCACTCACTCAACTCCAATCATCGACCCTCATACCCGCACCGACGATCCCGACTGTCGCGTGCTAACTCCCACCACTGCGATCGTCACCCCGCTGACGTAAACTCGACGTGGTTCGCCCAGATCCCACAGTCTGTCGTGGCGATCAAGCGCGCAACCGGCCAGCCTATCGACAGTCCGACGGGACTTTCCGACTCGCATCAAACACTCCGCCTAGCCACTGCTTCCCGGAAGCTGGCTCAGGAGTCGAGAATGTAAGAGAGATTTGCGGGCGCGTTTGCGGAATTTATAGTGATGAGGAAGGAGACAAGGGAGAGAGAATGCAGGGGGAAAGTCGAAGTGTAATAAGAGAAGCAAGAGGAAAAGACTTGAAGAGAAGCGCGCTATAGAAGCCATATTGATCCTTCGGAACTCGGCGATTGACCAATCAGACTCGTCGCGCAATAGGCAGATCCTACCGTACCACGCGTCTGATTGGTGGGCGAGAGTAATCGAAGGATCGACCAGACTTCACAAGCTTTGCTCGAAGGGCGAGAAAAGAAAAGGCGCGAGAAGTAGCGCAAGACGGGTCCAAGATTCAGATGATCAAGAAAGGGAAATGGGCGCGCAAAGAGTAAAGCGGAAGGGAGAGAGAGAGGGAGAAAAACAGTTACGAGGAGAGAGGAAGAGGAGGGGGAAGGAAAAAGGAGCGCGGGAGAGAGCGATGCGGGGGACAGAGAAGAGAAAGCCTTGCATGCGCGGCGCCGTCAACAATAAAAAAAAGGCACCGAAACAGTTACAGCTTGCCTACGTCCTAAACCAATTCAAAATTGAAATCACCATATCCACGGGCGAAAGAGCGAGGCGGGAAAAGAAAGTCCTACGCCTATTCGTATCCCCACAAAATTCCGAGAGTTTTCCCCAACGCGACCGAGAACATTCACACACAAAAAGGACACGTCGAAGTTCCGCTTATCCCGGAATTCCCAACTGCCGGGCCCAATTCCCAGTGCGTTCGCTAAGGCGCACGTAAATTCCCATGTACTTCCCGAATTGCAAAAAAAAAAAGCAGAACCCGGGAATCGTAAAGGCTTCCGAAAGATGGGGCCCCAAAACGCGGCACCCGAAATCAAGAAAACGAAACGGAGTTTTTATGGGGTTGTTATGATACAAGCAAAAAGGTTACGAAAGATAGCACGGGTTCGGGAAGTAGTTCGTCACGTGGACTTGTCGTTTGGATTAGGGTGGGTTCTTATAGGTACTGTTGCTTTGCTTTTCAGGTTTGTGTAGGTTGTTTTGGGCTGGGAAGTGACCTCATTTTGAGGTAATGTTTTTCTTTCCAATTTTTTCTTTTAGATAGCATTTTTGAATTGTGAGGCTTTGTAGGCATTGTTGAAGACTTATGTCCCAGGGATGCAGAATGTCAGGACAGCGGCCCAGTTTAGGCCATTTCTGGTTGGCTGGACACACCCCATTGCCTGCACCTAAGCTGGGTAATGGTCCCAAATTTTGCTCCGGGTTGTTTGTGGAGGTTTTCCCGGTCTCCATTTTTTGATGAAATGAATGGAGCTTTGTTGTCAAAAAAAAAAAAAAAAAAAAAAAAAGATCATTGAAAAAGGGGCGGGAGGAAGGGAGGGACGATGCAACAGTTTTATGGCAAAGAATCTGCAAAGCGGTTTTTCCCTAGGCTGGTCCCCGGGCTGCTCGGCGGCCTGG